CACCATGTTACAGGCCACAACTGAACAATATCAAAGCAAGAACACAAGAGGCACTGGCTGCAAGGATGGCTTCTCGAGGTAGCCCCTTTGAGCCTCTGATGCTCACGGACGACGAAGAGAAAGACTGCTACGATCGCGCCTTTCAATTGCTGGAGCGGACACTACGCAGTTATGATGAGCGAGATGCTAAGAGCGATCAAGGTCGCCTTCACCATTCCAAACTGGACAGCCATAAGTGGAAGCTACTGAAGACACAAGCGAATGCGTCGATGTACGTATCACGTGGCGACACCACGTCGAAAGACGACGACATCAGTGGTGAGATAGAGAATGCTATTAATATCGTTCTCCTAACGGCAGGGACGATTCGAGGCGAGTTGGACGAAGTAATGCTCGGCTTGAAAGCCATCGATGTCAACAGTATCAGCTTCCGAACGGAGTTGCCTGGCAACCATCCCGTCGACTGTGCTGTCTTGGCTGAACTACTAGGTGCAAAGGAAGTCGATCCGTTCCGGTTCCTTGGCGTTACCTGGCTTATGTACGAGAACAGTTGGCCGGTCAAGGCGATTATGCGGCCACGAGACCTCTTGACTCTGACAGCCACTGGAACTATGACCCGTTCCAACGGTGACCGTATCGGCTACGAAGTGGTACAGCCCGTGAGGTTCCCACAGTGTCCGCTTTTGTCCGGAGCGGTGCGCAACGACGTGATGCATGCTGCGATCTTCAAGCAACAGGAGCCGGGCATCGTGGACGTCTACATCCCTACGTACGTGGAAAGCCAGAGTACGCTTCTTGATAAAGTAGTCACAAGTGTCACGTGGAAAGCGACACTGGCATTCTGGGACGCTCGCCGAAATGAAGAAGTTGCAGTGGAGCATCGCCAACTGCCGCATGGAGCGTCAGAAACAGCAACAGTCGACATCGTCTGCCTGCAAACGCTGCTCAGAACCGCCAAGTATGTTAAAGCGATTGGGCGGTATTGGCCACAACGACAAAGATTCTTGCGTTTTGTGTGAGGTTTCAATGTGCTCCGAGTGCAGAGTGGAGCGGACCCTCAAGGTCCCAGACGAAAACAGCGGAAGGCTGAAAGACCAAAGTGTCGGTGTGTGTCTGCCCTGCGTTGATGTTCGTACGACAGCCTTTGCCCCCACAGACATCCGCCCTGTTTAACCGCAAGCAGCGCAGGCCAACAACGATTATCTGAGCTTCAACGTTTGAGTTTACGAGCTCCCCACGTCGCTTTCCATTGCCTTATTGAGCATACCCATATTTTGGTGCGTTACCGGTGTGCTTGGTTTCTATGAAAGGTGAATAAATAAAATAATACCGTACGTTCACATTGCTTCACTCGCCGTATGCCCCGATACGATGACAATTCGGGCTACTCGAATGGAACAAGGCCACCGGAGTTGCCGCCAGTGTCGAATTAAGCTCATGTGAAAGCAGACCGCATCGAGATGGACACACCGACAGATGACGTTACCTAGGTAGCCTGAAGTCGTTATTTTTTAGCATTCGGAGCGACGTTGATGGCGCCGAGCGCCAAGAGGAGATGACTGGGGTGCGTGCCCCAGTGGACCGACAGAAGTAAAGCCGAGCTGTACGTGTAGCTTTCTAAGTTGCTAACTATATCGCATAGCGCACGCCAAAGTGAAAACGTTTCTGATATCCCCCCCCCCCAGCGTATCGACATCGATATCGAAGCGAATACTGTGTAGGTGTTTAGCGAATCAAAAACCAATTGATTCGTCTAGTTAAACCTAATCAAATGCATAACGTGTGGCTTTCGGCCAACGTATTGAGAGACCTTGTTAACTCTCCAACTTATGTACTGAGAGTTTGTTAACTCTCGCGGGTACTTCGTACCCCTGTGTGTTCCACACCAT